CTGGTTGCCATGCTGGTGTCAATCCTTTCTGACCTCTGCAGCCAGGCCATGGCTTCTCCTGTCACTCTCGGCTGCTCTTGGAGAGGAAATTTACTAGCACTGGAAACAACTGGGCCAAAGAACGGTTGCCACATGGAGTTGTCATAGAAACCTACCAATATTTAATTGGGGTTAATTAATGAAGCAGGAGCCCGGCGCTCTGGAGCTGAAGGAGGACAGATTGCAAATGATTTGCCCTCCTCCAGAAAGCTGAATGGATCCGTTGTTGTGTCTTCTTTTGAATCCTGGAAAGCTTCAGGATGGCCCCTTGAGTGACATCTTTGGCCGGATGGATCTTCTCCTTCCCTGGTCCAGATCTTGGAGTTTAGAAGATGTCAAGCTTCACAGAGGGAGGAGCCGTAATTGCACCCAGCCATTGCTCCTTGACTGGGTCTGGAGCATTATCATGAGAGCTAGGAGCTTGGTCTTCTTTTGCGTCAAGAAGTCCAGAGAGCATTGGTGAGGGGAAAGACTCTCACTGCCCACGGACGCACCACACGTACACATAACCAGAACGTGGGTCCATGCAGCATGTTAAACCAGAGACAATAAATTAGAGCGTGCAATCCTCAGACAAAGAGCATGCTCTTTTATACCCTAAAAGCTGAGATGGCTTGGCTCACACATCCAGGCCATATTAGTTTAGTATGTTGGGCAAACTCACCTGTATTTGCACCACCCTTTCCATCCTGCGGACTACCGTTGGCGAGCATCCTGTCCTGCATCACCAAACCTTAAATTCAGCTTCCCACAGTGCATGGCCTCAAAAGGCGTTGAGTTAATGCCTTGCGACATTGACTGCCACAGGGCCACTAGCCTTGAGTTTGTGAGCCTGGCACTGTAGACGCCAGATCTGGCAGACCTTTGAAGCTCTGAAAGATGGGTAGACTAGACCTCCTGGATCAGCCCCGTGGCTTGGACTGGGCATTGTCAGGGCAGGCCTGGCATTGCCTCACTTCTCCTTCTTAAGAGCCATCCTGTTCCTTTTGCAGTGTTTGCCAACCTTGGCGACTTTAAGAGGTGTGGACTTCAACTCCCAGAATTCCCCAGCCAGCAT